AAAAAAAAAAAAAGAATTACTCCCTGCATCAGCCACTCCAGTTTTCTATACAAAAGGTAAGCACACCTGGTTTTCACTAGTGTTACAAGTTAGCATATGTGCAAGCATACATGTAGGAGTCCTGTGTGAAAGTGATTGGTGATGAGCAGAGCCTACAACCTGATTGCAAGTACAGTTGAAGGAAAAAGTTTGATTCTTGTGCTTGTGCTTGCACTTATGGTTATGCCTGCATTTACTAGTGGTAACATCATTTAAAGGGTCAATACAAACCTCTTGAAGTTGTTCTTGCAGGGACTCTAAGTTACTTTTTAACTTCTCTATTTCTTGTTCATGTTCTTGGTTTTTAACTTCATGTTCTTGCTATAAAACAAGAAAAAGCTACTTAGTACTTAGGTTAAGAGGCATGATACTTCTTTTTTGCTATCATTTAATGTTGCAGTTCCTTAACTATGCTTTAAAAGACAAGGTTAAGTAAAAACACAGCAGCAAGACACATGGCATAAAGGGGGGAGCATTGCTCTGCAATTGGCAGGGCAGATGACTTCCATAGCATGACCATAAAGCCTAACTTATCTCCCCGGTGTTACTTTAAAAGATCTATGCCGGATTGGACAAGTTCTAGGTAGGTCCAAAACATATATCTTACAGCCTAACTCTCCACGGTACTATGAGCTAAGACCACTGGCCAGCATTGTACATGTGCAACTTAATGGAATGAGTGTAGGCAATTATATTGCTCAAGCCATTTTATCTTTATATCAGCACTATAAGCTGACATGTGCTGGAATAATGGCAATTCAAGAACGTAGCAATAAAATCGCTAAAAAACAAAGCTTGGGAAAGTCCCTGCAAGACTTAAGCTGAAAGGGAATAAAGAGTGGTGAGCCCGCGTTTATTGATAAAAACAATAAAACTACTCCAAAGGGAGGGAAGGGTGGGATTTTCAAAAAGCTTTTTTCACAAGACCTTAAGTTAGCTTAATGTCTGAGGGTCAGCCAATGATAAATGCTGTAATACTGAATAAAGGGAGCACATGAGGTGCTCCATGAGGTAAACATGTAAATAATTTTAACTAGCCATAAAGAGCAAGTGATACATATGTAGCCAGCTAGATTGAAACATACGCTAATGTCTTCTACTGTGTCTAGTAATTTCCCACACTTGACAGTGATTTAACATACTACGAGTTATTTGCAATGGCAAGTGTAAGCCGTAAATTAATGTGCAACTTAACCTAAAGTGAAGTTAACTTAGGTAAACTTATCTTAACTTTCATGCTTGTCAATCTTGAGATCATAGGTTCGTAATTCTAACTAGACTTAACCCACGTAAATTAACTTAGTTGAATTGCGTAACATACTACGAGTAAAAGTTAAATGTGTACCCAAAGGCGATATCCCAATGTTGTGTGACCTAACCCTGACAAACTGAGTCACACTCCATTAATTGTGTTTTAAGATTGCATTGTAAAACTTTCCATATTTAATTACTACATCAAGGAATATTTCAAAACCAACCATCATTTTCTTTTTATCTGCCTGGTAGCTGGCCTCCATCTTTGATTTCTGCTGCATTACAGTTGCAAGTGAAGCACTGAGAGTCGCAACCTTTTCCTGCTGTGTGTCCAACTCTGCTTGTAAAGATGAATTGTTTTCCTACAGTCAAGAGATGACAAAGGGTTACTTAGTAAAACTGTACAATGTAACAGGACATCTCTTAATCATTTACTATTATAACTTAATTAATCATAAGTTAGTGTATAGAAAAGGATGATGAAATGTTAGGAGAAATATTTAATACAGTCAACTTCCCAGTCTCCCAAGTCGGACATTTTTACTGGACTAGCAGGCCATCTGATAGGATACGATAAAAAATCAGAAATTGCGCGATACTCTCAGGGTAGATTATGCAATAAGATAGCACCATTATGCTATAAATTATGTGATTTTTTCAGGGCTAATTTACATCGTTTTACCCAGTTGCAAAGGAGAAAACCACTTTAATGTTGTTTAACAGGCAATTTGAATGTAAAGGAATGATAAAAAATCTATTTTAAAACAAAATAGTTAAATTTGTTCGATTATTTTTACCCGGAAAAAAAGGACGCTTGCTTAGTATTACATGACACCGTTACACCGCTGACCACACTGCTTATCTCTGAAGTCAAAATGGCTGCCAAGATACTGCGATTGAAGGTTTTAGATGTCTTGCAAGACTTTCTTCAGTGGGAAAATGTTTAATTAAAGTAAGAATTCATTGTTTACTTTACTTGAATTCAGCATTTTTTTTTACGAATTATGTGATTTTCTTCAAATTGTGCGATCGGATGCAATTTGAGGTCAATTGTGCGAAATCGCACCATCGCGTAATATCAGATGGCCTGGACCAGCACTAAGTGTCCGTCTGAGAGAGATGTCCATCTTGTGTAGAGAGTTAACTAAAAGATGTAAAGAAGGGCAGTCCATAAAGAGAAAGTTAACCATAGTTTGACTCCCACTGTTTTTTATGACCTACATTTTAAATCATCCAGTCCGGTAAGTACAGGGGCTGTAGGGCTGCAGTCATTTGTTTACTTAGAACTCTAACAAAAAGCTAACTCTAATAAGTTACAAGCAGTACTGATATAATCTAATAACAAATTTTAATTACAACATGAACACTTAGTTAAGGTGATTGTGCTAATTAAAACCAAAAGGTATTTTTTTTTGGACTTGCAAAAACATAAAAACTAATAATTAAAATAATCAGTTAGCATGCTTTCCCACTAGCCTCTATATTAATCATTTTATGAAATCTGTATACTTATTGTTGATCAATTACTATCATTAAAGCTACATAATTATACAGCTACCTTGCCAGCAAGCTGAGACTGATCTTCACCTTCCACTTCATTTTCTTTGACTGCTAATGGATGGTCCAAAACTTCTTTTCCTTCCACACTTTCTCCTTTCAAAGGGTTTTTTGCACCCTTTTCTTTATTTGTTTTCTTGCTTTCATTCCTTCCATTCCCCCCAGTATGATTATCAGCCTCTGATTCTGCTGCTTCCTTTTGAAGGCTTTTTGGCGCATGGTTACTGGAGGTCGTCAAGACATTGACACTGGCTTCCAAGGCATCTTTCTCACTCAACAAATTCTTGTAGGCATGGACAACATCTGTTAAATAATCAATGTAACAAATGAAATAACTATAATTATATGCAGTTAAATCTCTTCTGTAGATACCTCTCTATTAGAAAACACTCTGCAAACATCACTCTTGTGGACACTTCATGTGGTCCTTGGTAAGATTATTCACTTTGTGTAGTTGATTAGCCTGTGAAAAAGCTCTCATCTAGAGGAGAGGAAGGGCCTTACTCTTTGCCTTATTATCATCCTTTTGTCGCCCACTTCTCGAATGTCCTAGGTATATTAGGGTCTGGAGAGCGGTTTTATGGTTACAACGTCAATTTTATTGCTGGCAAATCGGCAAAACAGTGAACACTTGCAATATTGCGGGACTGTTTATTGTGTTGTGACCAATCACAAAGATCAGGACAAGCAAACTAGCTACAAAACCACAAACTAATTAACGTTCTTGCTTGCCGTTTAGTTTCTCACACGCAATTGGCTTTTTCTTGCAACACAATAACATTCCAGAAATATTTCTGGTGTTCACAGTTTTCCCGGTTTGACTGTAATAGTTTTGGAAGTTAAAAATAAACCTATCTGTTAATGAAACAAAATGGACCAGTTTGTGAGCTAGAGCCCATACTACTATCAGTCAGGTTTGGATTTCAGGTTTTTTGTCTGTTTCTCAAAGGTATACCAGTAATTCTGGGTCAGGTTGTTCAAAGCGGGGTTAAGTTAACCCGGGGTTAGGGTGAAATTTGAATTCAGTTATGAAAGCTTGAGAAGAAAATTCAGTTTAATTCTTTTTGTCAACAATGTGATGACTGGACGTTCCAAAAGGAATAGAGAAAATTATCCGAGAAAATGCTTTTAAACAAAAGAAAAAGAAACCCGAATTAAAATTTAACCCCAGGTTAGCGCTAATCGGCCTTCGAACAACTTGGCCCTGCCTGATAAACGGACCCCAATCTTAGCTAAAAAAGCTTTAGACCCCAATCTATCGGCTAAAAAAACTTTAAAGAGTTCCTGAGCTCAGCTCAGGGCTGTCATTTAGTTAGTAGATAAATCCAATAAGTAGGCAGGGAATTAAACAGCAACGAATTACATTTTCCTATTATTTCCTGTGAAAGTGGCCAGCAGTCATGCTCGCAGTAAATAGGGGAAGGTCCTTAGTAACAGCCCTGGCAGCTATTGACCAGATGAGAATATCTTGATTATTTTAACAATGCTGCTTTCTTTGACTGTTCAAATGTCAACCCGAGATAGGGGCAGTCCTCAATTCAGAGCTGAACCAACCGTTTAGAAGAATGAGTCGAAGTACTAGTTCAAGTTTGTCTTTTCCTGAAAAAACATAAAACATAAGCGTGTAAAGTAAGAAATTCTCTTACCTCTGAGCCTTGTTTCATACCGAGTTAGTTGCTCTTTCTGGGCTTCTACAATTTTAATAAGTTCAAATCTAGATTTCTTCTCCATATGGTGACATCCAGTTCACAATTCAAGCATCGACATCGAGCTTAAACTACCTCATATCACTTTCCCCGCAAAACGTCAAAGAAATAGCTACAACCTGCTTCATGAAATCCGTAAAAATCTCTACCAGTTCTTTTTTCTCCCTGTAGACGTGTAAAATAGCAGCATTTTGCCAGAAAATGGGAAAGAATTTACGGGATGTTTCAACGTTCCAATCCTCCAAATTTACCAGGCGCTCGGACACGTATGTTACTTCGTTGCCGCGAAAACACTGGTTACTTTATACTTCATGTAAAGACCAGTTATGTTTTATTTATCACGTGATCAGAAAAAAAAACTAATATGGCGGCGGCACAGTCAGGGAACAGTATCACTAAAGTTTTAGAGAGTATCTGTCGCGAGAGAAGAAGAGAGAATCTCGATAAAGAAAGTGAAGGTAAATTCAAGGCCTGGAGACTAACATGGGCATTTTTTTAAGGACGGTCAATCCCTGAATTTTGCTAATTCCATTCGAGCAATCTGTCAAGTGAATTGACGACCAGGTCATATGAAAGTAATGTGTGTGGGTATGATTGATCCGAAGTGTTATTAGTTGATACAGCTGTCTTATTCTTTGCGATTACATGGTGTTTCTTGCTTAAAATTAAAAGAGAATATGTAGATTTTCGCATGCAAAAAAGCGAGCTATTAGCAAAAGTCGCTTGGCAAATTTTTGAGATTATTGGGCAATAGTAAATGAATTAAAATACGCTTTCCAAGTTTGAAGGCTGTCGAGGGATCGATGGAGCAACTTTGAAAACAATTAAATTTTTACAAGAAAGATTATGAAAGGTGCAAGTAAACTAAATAATCCAACACCCTGGGTATTCTTTCAAGTGCTCAGTCAGCGGCAGAAGTACAGCTGTAAATACATATTAGGCATTGAGTGTACCTTTTCTTTCTTCAGTTTGAAGATCAGCTCTTGCATGCTAAGTGTATATGCAGGGTCTTGATCATGAATATTATTGTTAATGGTCACAACCCTTTTTTGTGCCATTTAAGTTTGGGAAATACAGAAATGCTGTCTAATAGGCCCTTCGCAGCTAGCCCATTTGTGTGGTATAAAACCGCCATGTAGGAGAGCACGAGAGATAAGAGAAGGCAAACAAAGGAAATTAACATTTTGAATGATGTATGTTCTTTTGTTTGTCTTGTCCCACTGTGTTCCCGGGTCTCCAGTATAGCGGTTTTGCACCACCTGAATGACTAACTGTAAAGGGCCTATTTGGAAAAACCTTTCTAGCCGGTGTGTTTCCACTGTATTAAACAATCTATTTTAGATGCCCCAAAATTTTGGAACACATCTTTTTGTTTGTTAGTGGCATACCACGTCTCCACTGTTATAGCCTTCCAGGATCCTCTTTTTTTGTTTATTAACACAGGGCTCGAAATTAAAAAAATCTTCAGGTCGCCTTTTGGCAACCAACCGGAGAGTTATAGTCGCCAGATGCAAAATTTTAGTCGCCAGTTTGTAAAATGTAAGTGACGCAGCTCATAGGTACAGAGCTTCTGATATTTCGAGCAGGAGTGGAGCCGCGAAATTCACAAAAACATGCGAAATACCGCGAATTTCAGTAGAAATCGTATCAAATACAACATATTTGAAACTTATCTCAGCTATTGGAGCTATTTACTTGCCGTAAACTTGCAAATTTCTCTTGATACTTCGTCACTGAACCGTGCAAATAACGTCCCGAAACTACCAGGCGTAGATTGTGTTGCGAAAAACTGGGCACTAGCCATGATGTTAAAGGCTTTGCCATTGGTTCATTTCGGGAGCGTATTGTTGTTGAAAGAGCAAATGATGACCTCTGTTAGAAAAACGTTAAAAACGCTGGTCTGATCGGCCTAAAACCAACCGATATCTGACAAAATGTTCCCTAAAAAATAACCACAAAATCGGACTTTTTTACCGGTTGATTTTCGGCGAAGTTTGCCCCAAACATTCCCACGAAAGTGCCGCAAAACCGGCCGATTTTTCCTTGAATTTGCCCCTAAAAATCCCGCAAAATTTGACTTTTTTCGGCTACCTATCAGAAGCCCAGCGTAGACTGGCGCGATCCATCAGATTTGAAAATATCATGAAGTCGGTATAAATTTGGAGGTAAACTGGCTTTGTTTATGCGATTTGGCACATTTTTTATGATGAAAGCAAAGCAAGATAAGATGAAATGTTTGTTTTAATTTTACTCTCCTAAAATCTGGTCGCCACTTTGGCGACTAAACCAGAATTTTTAGTCGCCAAGGAGAAAATGTTAGTCGCATTGGCGACCGTACCAGTCGCAATTTCGAGCCCTGTAACAAAATACATATAGCTACAGGGTCATCAGTTTCACTACTGTCATGTGCTACCCTCTTAAAATAAAGTATATTGATTGATTGATTGATTGATTGAGCTAGCTCACATTCACTGTCATTCTTTGTCATAGCCTGACAGGATCCAAAAATTTGTCTGAATTTTTTACAAAATCAATAACATTCATTGTTTTTCCAACCTAAAACAGGCAAAGTTAAATGTTTCCAAAAACATTTTGGTTTAATGTATCTTAATGTTTACTTAATGGAGGAGGCATGGTGTAATCTTAAACCAGAGTTGAAGTTGCCATCTTCTGCTCTGTTCAATATTCTCTTTCTATGGCTTTCTATCCCTTTGGTCAGCCTCTCCCCAGCTGGGATTGTTTAGACTGTTTATATTGTTCAGTGTAAATAACAATGCTAGTTTCATGTGTGGCCATGGTGTCCTTACTTAACAGTGTCATCCTTATTTTGAAATGTACTGATTCCCAAACACATTAAAATGATTTACTGATAGTTTATCTATATTTTGTGATGCTTTTTATAGAGGGTTTTATTGTACTGGCAATTGAATCATTCTGGACCAGGCTGTTCTCTCAGTACTTCATTTGTAGTGATGATGAAACAAGGGATGACCTCCTATTCTATGTAAAAGGGAAGAGTGCAAATAAAGATGGAAAAGTTACTAAAGATGCAGAGGTAAAGTCCTTGGCACTTGCTGGTTTTGGTTAAAAATTTACAACTACAGTACTGTATACAGGNGTACTGGCAATTGAATCATTCTGGACCAGGCTGTTCTCTCAGTACTTCATTTGTAGTGATGATGAAACAAGGGATGACCTCCTATTCTATGTAAAAGGGAAGAGTGCAAATAAAGATGGAAAAGTTACTAAAGATGCAGAGGTAAAGTCCTTGGCACTTGCTGGTTTTGGTTAAAAATTTACAACTACAGTACTGTATACAGGGCTTCTAATGTTAAACATTACATCCATCATCAGAAGGCTCTCGTTACATAGAAGAATCTGGATATTTCTATTAGAAATTAATAAATGAACAAGCCTGAACCCTAAGCTCAGGTGCAGCTCAATGAGGATGTGTATTCAAGAGGCTAAATTTTTAATTTTTGTCATGTAAATGTCAGTCATAACAATGAAATAATATTATTGTCTTTCTCTTCGTGAAAAAAATTGTTGGAACTGTGCAATTGCATAATTAACCCATTAACTGCCTGTGTGACATACTGAGTATGTCATATAATTTGTGTTTCATAATGCCAGTGTCATGTAATATAAAGTACATCAGAAACTGAAGAGCCACAGAGGAAACCCGTTCAAGAATGTTTTGGGCTCTCAGGCCAAAGCAATTTAGGAGACTAGCAACTACTAGTAGTGGTCAGCCTAAAGACTCAATTTAGGGTTATCTGCCATGTCTGAGGACATTAGTAAGGGGGAAGGCAGCAAGGAGGTTAATCTAGAGGACTTGTCTGCAGCTAAGACTGGTCACTTGCGGTAATGGTTTTTGTTAGCAAGAATGCAATGAGGCTTTCTCAATGCAGCCTTAAGCAGATCAAGCTGCCTGGTTACAAAAATGCCTGTTTAAACTGTAAATGCCCCATTCCAATAACTGTCTTCACTGAATGGTCATACGTGTATGACTTAAAAGTTGAAATAATCACCCAGTTCGCTTAAGGATAACAACAACAACAACAACAGAGGAAGAAAGCTTGAAAGCTATGCACCAAAGCAATCCTCCTCGGACCACCACATTCTTCCCCCCAGGGCTATTCAATTTCGTCTTTCCTTCTTATTTTATGAAATTACTAAAAGTAGATACATAATGAAGTGTGATTTAAACTGAATAATAAGAAAGTAACTCTGCTTTTTTTCACCTAAAGTCTAAAATTGCAGTGTTTAGAAAAGACTCCAAAGTTCTTCCAAGGTGAGTGTCAATTTCTTCATTCTTTTCTTTTTTTTGCTTCCCAGCAAGCTTAAATACAACCCTAACCTTCTGGTATTCAATAACAAAGCTGACACAATGTAAATCATATTAATAGTTTGACCTGTACCTTTTGTACTTTTTCTTTTGTGTGTGAACATGTTCTAGTTAGCAAGTCTATCAGAGAATTGTTTTAGACAACCTATGGTAGGTTTTTTTTCTTTAGTATTATCATTGAATTGTTTTGTTTTAGTCTGGGTGATCCAAGCATTGACTGGGAGGAGTCTGTTTATCTCAACTTAATTTTACATCAAGTAAGTTCCACTAATAACTGCACAGGAGATCCATACTCTGTTTTGGGGTTACTTACTCTATTCAGATGTTGAAATTCAAACTTCTCAATGGGTTTACATATAACTTTCATGAATACGGTTGTAAACTGAGTCTGAGGTAACCCTGCAACTAACAACTGTGTTGATTTGTGACGGTATGTATAGGTGCCTAGGATATTCAGGGGCCTCCACTTTTGTCACCGGCAGCCCCTATATAGAGTTACACCCTCATGGTGGGTAAATCTACACCTCTCAGCTATAATCCCCACTCCAACCCACTAAAAGAACCAGGCAGTATCACACTGACTAATAGGTGGAAAAAGTATGCAAGATCCAAAACCTGAACAAAGCCCAGAGGCTGTTACATGTAGAAGGTGCTATAACAAGCACATGGTGTCAATG